GTGTGTGTATGGGTGAGTGTGCATGGCCACTGTGGGTATGTGTGTATGGGTGAGTGTGCATGGCCACTGTGGGTGTGTGTGTATATGGGTGAGTGTGCATGTCCACTGTGAGTGTGTGTGTATATGGGTGAGTGTGCATGTCCACTGTGAGTRTGTGTGTATGGGTGAGTGTGCATGGCCACTGTGGGGGTGGGGCTGTGGTGGCATTTGTCAGAGTGACTCCGTCAGAGGAACATGGCTCCAGGTCTTCCGGGGACCTCAAGGCTCTGGACTGGGATGTGGTCTGGGAAAGTGTCCTCCTGGGMTGCAGACCTTCGCATCCCTGTGCACATTGCCCCTTGGGTGACTCTGGGCCAGGAGGTCCTGGGGTCCACGTGGGCACCTGGGCCCAGGTCCTGCTTCCTGGAAGGCGGTCTCCATGTCCACGTGGGCCCCACTCTCTCCCTCCTCCCTCCGTTTCAACACGAAGCCTGTTTGGGGAAGGGCTGGGTCCTCCTGAGTCCAACCAAGGGCCAAGCCCCAGGCACGAGGTTGCCCCCTGGAGGAACGTGCCATCTGTGGCAGGATCTTGGCCACTCAGAGAAGATGCAGTGGGGCAGGGACCCTCTCGGGTGGGCTGGGGTACAGGGCCACGYCTAAGCCCTGTGGAGGGCCACCGTCTTCATTGGGTGGGAAAGGGGCCTCTGGCAGGGAGGGCACTGGACAAGGGGAGCCCTTCAGGAAGGGTCTCCTCTTAGAAAGAAGGCCCAGGTAGTCCCATGGGGTGAGGGGAGATGGCCGCGATGGCATTAAGGAGACCGAAAACTCTCAGGGGAGTTCAGCTGTGGCTCAGACCAGCGGCTGCTGGGCCTGGCTGGCAGCAGGCACGKCAGGGTGGACAGCTGTGTGAGGGGTGGGACGAAGGGGACAGTGGCAGGGGTGCGGCAGCTGATGGAGGAGCTGAGGGCTGTAAGGATGTCCTTGCCAKGGAGACGAGAGATGGCGGTTCCTGACATCAGGGCAGGAACCCAGGGTCCTGGGCTTTGTCCTTGGAGGCCTGGAAAGCCATGAAGTAATGCAAGGTCTTGTTTCCTAGAAGAAAGGGTGGGGAGGGCCACATGCCCTGATCCTCCCAACACCTGAGCAGAGTGGGTGTTGCAGGTGCACAATGACACTTAGTCCCCTGACTCTGGGCCCAGGAGTGTTAGCCAGTTTAGGGCTGAGGTTGGTGGCTCAGCAGGTCTGTGGGTCCAGTGAGGTGGACCCTGGAGGCCGGGCGGGGACAAAGACAGGAGAGGTAGACTCAAGGGACAACATGGTGGTGGGTGTGGAGTGGGCTGGAGGGGCAGGAAGGCGCGGTCAGCCGGGAGAGTGGAGGCCACTGCAGAGTGCGCATTGTGTGCAGGCTCGGTGTCTGTCCAGYACGACTGTTTTCTCAAAGCCCCCGGCAAGGAGCCACCTGCAGGATCCCACCCCCCACGCCCCCTCCAGCCCTCAACTCACACACTCAAGAAGACTCATCTCGGGGGGCTCGGAGGGAGGCGAGCAGCAGCCTCAGGGCTGCTGTGGGGAGTGGGCCGCTGAGGGGAGCCCGGCAGCCCCGTCCTGAGCCAGGACTCTGCGTCCTGTGAGCGGGGGGCCCTGGCAGATGGCGGCCGGGTTCTCAGGCCCAAGGTAGCACTGGCCACAGAGCAGGCATTAAGGTGCCACCAGCAGAGGCCTGCTTCCACCTGGTGTGTGGGTGTGCTTTATATGCCAGCTGGTGCCCTCCAAGTCAGTGTCTCCTACGGGGACAGTGGAGGGGCCTGGAGATGGAGGCCTGAGTTCTCAGTYGGCTGAGCACCTGGTGTGACAGCTGCATTCAGCAGGTTCAGGGCCCGCTGAGGAAGGGAAATCYACCACCCCTGCCTGCTCCAAGCTCAGGACCTCTCAAGGGGTTTTGAGGGTCTTCAGGAGCCAAGCTTTCCCTGGGGACTTCTCTGCACCAATGCCGAGGACTGTGTGCCGTTGGCGGGTCGTGCCTCCTTCTGGGGGGACGCGGCTGGAGGCAGAAGCCAAGGCTTCCTGCTCTCTTTGGCAATCTACATCAGGAAACGGTCATCAGGGGTTTTACGCTTTTGGGGGTGAGCTTTAAAAAGAACCCCAGCAGCACCCAGAGCCGAGGCCTACAGCTCAGTCAGGAGCCTTCTGGACCCTGGGAGCTCACTTACGTCCCTGTTTGTCCCCAGAATGTGACAAACACTGTGGTGAGGACCATGCTGAGGAATGACCTGTCCCCAGAGGGGATCATCCACCACCCGAAGATCCTCAGCCCCATCCACTGTGCCTTCCAGAACGACCTGCTGACTTCCTCGGGCTACGCCCCAGAGTGGGGGTGAGTGTCAGGCCRCTCTGGCCATCCACGGCGCCAGCTCCTCCCCAGCACCTTGATCTTAGGGGTCTTTATGGTTCCAACCATTTGAGACCCTTCTTTGAGGTTGACTATATACATAAACAGTGGCTGGGGCCGGATTAATACTGTCACTTCCCCAATCCTGTCTCAGTCCAATTTAGGATTGACCAGAGGAGCTAAGTATGCACCCCTCGTCAAGCAGCAAGGAGGCCCAGCCTCCCCGAGGCACCCCTGGGGCTCCATTCCTRTGAGGCTCTCTGCCTGCTGCCCCTGCCCAGGAGTCTCTGCCAACAGAGGTGGGGGGTCGACCCAGGTGGCCACTCTGTGCCCACAGCCCCCATCTGCTCTCCTGAGGGGTTCTCATCGATTCCCACACTTCCTTGGAGTTGCTTTTGGAGGCGGCATGGGTCAAGGGTGTGGCAGAAGGACGCTCCTGAGTGCCGCTCCCTCCTGCAGCGTTCACACCATCCTCGAGGACCTCCACGGCGCTGGGAATTTTGTCACCGAAATGCAGCTGTTCATCGGAGATTCTCCCATCCCTCCAAACCACAGTGTGTCTGCCAGCGAAGACATCACCATCGAGGTGGGGCTCTGCAGACAGAACARCCAGCTCAAGGTGGTCCTCACGGAGTGCTGGGCCACCCCCTCCAGCAACACCCGGGACCCCGTCACTTTCAGCTTCATCAACAACAGGTAGGGCTCAGGGGGTGCTGCACCCGCTGCCTGCCTGGCCTGTCACCTGCTGGGGACTCCTGGAATTCCCAGGCCAACACTGATGTAACGTGGTTCAGAGGACCTGGTGACTCCCATAGGGCCTGGGGGACGCAGRCAGACACAGTCACGAGGGAGCCACCTGAGAGGCCAGCAGGGCCTGCGTGTGCTGAGACGCCCCGTTTCCCCCCTCAGCTGCCCAGTCCCCGACACCTACACCAGTGTGATCGAGAACGGCAACTCCAGCAAGGCCCAGTTTAAGCTGAGAATCTTCTCCTTCATCAATAACTCCGTGGTCTACCTGCACTGCCGGCTGCGTGTCTGCCTGGAGTCCCCCAGAGCCACGTGCAAGATAGTAAGTGTCTGTGCTCCTTGACTTACGGTTGGCACAAGTTCGAATTGTTATGAGGAAGCAGCTCTGTTAATAAGAGCTGGGGCTCAGGGGCCTCTGACTGGGGACACTGGGCTCTGCAGGTTGGTATTGGAAGGAGGCAGTACAGCGGAGGCCCAGGGAGAGCTGGGGCACCTGGGGTGTGTGGCTGGCTGGACAACCTTGAGGCTGTGCTGTTCACTAGCTGTCCCAGCAGCCCAAGCCCCTCCCCCAGGTGGCCAGCTGGACACTCAGGCGCAGAAGTGCTACTTAGCCTGGTGTGGATTCTCAACATCGACGAACATGACCAAATATCAGACGCAGTGGTCGATTTTTCCTTCCCTGTGCCCAACATTCTCGCAGGGAGTGTGAATAGCTTGACGTCTCCCTTCCTCACACCATTGAATTCGCAAGGTGCTCTGCCATCCTGAGTTTCAGAGCTGTTCTCTAGACCAGTCAKAGGCAGAGTGACCCACATGTGGTCACGCGCTGTCCGAGGAGGAGCCGGCTCTGCGGGCCTTTTGTTCAGACGATGTGCGSGGGCGTCTCTCCTCTGGAGGATGTGCTTGCTCCTGGGCTCCACCCATGCTGTTGGCAGGTCGTGGATAAGAGAAGAAGCACCATGTGGCCCACTGAGTTAATGCCACCTTTTCTCAAACAGTAGACTGTCCTACGGGGAACAGACGATTCCCTGTGACAGGTGCTGAGGGGTACACTCCTGTGCCCACCTGGACCATTCGGTCCTCAAAAGTCAAGAGAAGGTCACAGGCACAAGTTTCCCCAGGCAGGAAGCGCCAGTCCTGTGCTCTGTGTGGTCTGACCTTGACACAGGTCTCCCCTAGCTCCTCAGAACRGGCATCCATTCATTTCCAGGGGTGCTGTCACAAGGTGCCACAAACAGGACAGGGGACGAATCAGAAGCCCCCTGTCTCAGCCGAGGTCAGAAGGTGTCGGCAGGCCTGCTCCCTCCTGGGCCGAGAGGGAGTCTGCCCGGGCCCGCCCAGCCTCAGCCTTTCCTTGGCCTGGAGACTGATTCTTCCTCTGTGCRTGTCTGTCTGTGTGTCTAGGTGTCCCCTTTTTATAAGGACACCAGCCACACAGGACTAGAGCCCTGAGCCACTTGAACCTGAGAAGGTCTCAGGGACATGCGCTGGGCTTAGGAGTCAGCGCTTTTGGAGGACACAGAGCCACCATGGCARGCAGAGTGCGCCGACTGCCCAAGGCCCCAGCGCAGGCACCTGTCTGTAAGGCAAAGGCACTAAGAGGAGCCATGGTGGCAGCAGCCTTTGGAGGAGGCATGGGGGACTCAGCCTCCCCTGAGGCGCGGTCACTTTGGTGGGAAGGTCCCAGGGCCAGGGTCCTCCACCTCCCTGGTTGGTGTGGCACGTCCCACTATCTGGTCTCCTGCTGCTCCCATGCCCCGTCTAGACTTACCCACCAGGGACCTGATGACCAGAGGACAGAACTCTCCCAGGTGACCGCCCTCCCYGAGAGGGAGTTAATCCCCATGGTGTTGCACCACCAATTTTGACCTTTTCTCCTTTAAACAAACCACAGAGCTGCAATGAGTTCCGGTCACCGAGAAGCAGTCAAGGCTCTGCAGTGCAGCAGATGTCCTGGGGGCCCCTCGTCCGGGCACAAGGTGAGTCCACAGGAAAAGACCCCATTAACCAGCAGGGAGCTCAGGGAGCAACTGCTTCCAGACAAGGAGCTTTGCGTCTCCTAACAGACCCGTGGTCACAGAAACCGCGGTGGCTGAGCTCGTCCTTGGGTCCCGTGAGCCAGCAGGTGGCTCTCTACGTGTCACTAGCCTCCGGGGAGGCTCCGGGGAGACGGAGCTCAGAGTCAGACGCCGCTGAACAGGGCGGTTTTCAGCTGGCCCTGGGGAGCCAGGGAGGTTTTCTGGCCTGGGTAGATATGGTGGGTGAAGGGGAAGGGGCTCAAGGGGGAGGCTGTAAACAGGTGGTGTCCAATTCTTTGTGTGTGTGAAAAAGYTGTTTTCTTCAGAAGATGCAAAAAAAGAAGCCCAGTGTTTCCGTTCTCCCTCAGTACGAACCTTCCTCAGCCAATTACATCTCACATAGTCTCAGAATCTGGTTTTCAGGAAAATGAGTTCTTTTTTAATGTGATCTATCAGATCTTTTTTTGGGGGGGGGGTTTACGGGGGTTTGAACTCAGGGGCATCTGACCTCTGAGCCACATTCCAGCCCTGTTTTGTATTTAGAGACAGGGTCTCACTGAGTTGCTTAGCACCTTGCTTTTGCTGAGGATGGCTTTGAACTCGAAAACCTCCCGCCTCAGCCGCTGGGATTAYAGGCGTGGGCTAATGCACCAGCTTGATCAGCTTGTTTAGAAAAAGTAATGGTTTTGTGGTTTGAAGACATTTGACAGAAACAGCCAGATGTCCCCCACTTTCTTCTCTTCCCTTCCATAGTGAGAGAGCTCAGGTGGTAGCTGACTCACAACTCCCGGGAGGGAATCTGGTTCCCAGCCTCCCTGGCAGCTAGGTGTGTCCATAGGAGTGAGTTCTGGCCAGTGACAGGCCCAGGGACAGTGGTGGCAACTTCAGGGACACCCTCCTTAAAAACTAGTATGAAACTAGTAACTAGTATGAAAAATTTTGAACTTGGAATTAATAGAACTGAGTATGATTGTTAGGCTATGATGTATGAGTTGGGAAGTCTTATGGAAATTACTAAATCTCCTGAATCCCATCTGTCCATCAACCTATCATCTATCTACCCATCCATCCATCCATCTATTCATCCATCCATCCACTCATCCATCCACTCATCCATCCATCCATACATACATACATACACTCATCCATCCATCCACTCATCCATCCACTCGTCTATCCATCATCCATCCATCTACTCATCCATCCACTCATTCATCCATCTATCCATCCATCCACTCATCCATCCACTCACCCATTCACTCACCCATCCACTCATCCGTCCATCCATCCACTCATCTGTCCACTCATCCATCCACTCATCTATCCACTCATCCATCCATTATCCATCCATCCACTCATTCATCCATCTATCCATCCATCCACTCATCCATCCACTCATCCAACCACTCATCCATCCATCCACTCATCCACCCACTCATCTGTCCACTCAACCAGTCCATCCATCCACTCATCCATCCATCCACACATCCCATGGGGCTGTAGGAGAAGCAAACCTTTGTGTGAGGCTGATTTGTGGACTTCCTGACTTTGGCCCCTGGTGATGGGCATGCTGAGCCCCATTTTCCTCACCTGTGCACTGGGAATAATAACAACTCCCACTTCACACCGAGACTGGCCGTCTAAGTTGCTGGACAGCGGTAGCTGTTGGCCATTCATAACTGGGAAGCAGGGCACTGGCACATCCAGCACAGAGAGTGTAACAGGTCAGCTCAAAAACGAGGTCTCGGACGGTCCATTTTGCTCATTGTTCTTGTTCTTTGCAGTCTTAGTTTCCCTTTGGTTAATAACTGTCACAAGACATACAGAAGATAATTTAAGCAGAATCCTGCAGCAGTGGGGACTTTGCCACCCAGCAACAGTGCATGTAGCGGCAGCACCATGGGGGCCTGCAGGGGTGAAGAGAGCCCAGAGGCCAGATGGCTTCCGGAACCTTCCTCCGTCTCTGCCTTCACCATCACCTCCACTGCTGGATCGGGGCTGTGTGAGCTTGCACCGCTGCTGCCTAGATGGGCTGCCCTCTGCTGCACCTCTTGGGCCACCGCTGCTCTCTGCTCCCAAGGAGCGGGGCTGGCTCCTTAGCAGGTCCGCTCCACTCTGGCCCTTCTTGTGTCCTGGGTTGCTGGAACAATCTCCACTCCCGGGTATGGGGGCCTAAAAACAACCRAAATCCTCTCTCAGTGCGGGGCCAGAGGTCTGGAGCCACAGCACCAGCAGGGCTGCCCTGAGACCGGCAGAGGCGCAGCTGCTGCCCGTTCCTTGGCTGGCCTTTGTCCTTCTCCCTGTGCCTCTGTCTCCACGTGGCCATCCTCTCAGCAGAATGCTCCCAGAATGGGGCTGGGCCGCCAATCCCAGTGTCTTCGCCTTCCCTAGTCCCATCTGACCTGCAGACCAGCTCACCCTGCGGCACTGGGACTCAGAGGTGTCTTGTGGTGGCACAGTTCAGCACATGGCACAGGGTAGTGATCGTGTAAGGAAGAATCCATTCTGTCCTTCCCTAGGTGTGTGCTACCCACAAATAATCTCTCACCATCAGAACTTTTGGAAATTGTGATGGCCATTGCTTTAGTAGATGGCCGACCTGTTTCACACTCGCTAGAGGTGGTGGACAGAGTAGGAGGCTGATAGTCACAGCATGCACACACAGCCCAGTGGGAGGTCTGGAACAATTACTGAGGCTGCTCGGAAGTGAGGAGGACTCTGAGCTCTGGGAGAGGCCTGTCCCTCCTGGGCCTGCTCGGGAAGGTGATAGGAGGGTCTTTGACACTTTCCCTCTCTGTCCCCTTTACAAAAGCCCTAGTAGTTCTGTGTCTTTGCAGTTACTTGAGTTCCTCATGCACCCTGCACTGACACAYGCTCTGCCTGCATGACCCACGTGCCGCTGAAGAGGTGAGGACAGGACCCACTGCCGAAGCATGTGCCAGATTGGGATAGACATTCCTAAGGGCTTGCTCTCCCCTTCTAACGTACCCTGCACGGACCCAGAGCCCTTCTTCCTGAGCTGTGTCACCAGGGGCAGCCTGGCCTGAGGACCCCACTCTGAGCAGCCTGACTTAGTGGGTCAGTCAGGAATATTTGGGTGCAGGCAACAGAAACCCAGCTGGGCGTGGAGTGGAACAGGGGCTACTGCTGGGCGGACACTCTAGGCTGGCTCTGGCCCCACAGCTTCGCAGGAGCCTGTCTCCTCTGTCCTGGTCTCCAGCATCCTTGGTRCATGTGGCCCCCTTGTACCAGCAAGAGGAGCCCTCACTCCTGGCCCAAGAGGAAGGAGGCGCCCACTCTAGTGCCCCTGGCGTCTGAGTGTAGGGCCAGCTCTGCAGTTGTCCAGGGAAACGGCTGGCCAGGGCCTGGGAGCCTGGGGGTCCTTGGGAGCTCAGGGCCGAGGCAGGGGGCAGGAGGTCCCAGAGTGTTCCTGTTCCTGGGGGTATGGCTGTCATTTGCAGCTGGCTCGCTGTCCGGGGACCCCAGAGGGGGCCCTAGCAGCTCAGTGGGACAACTCTGCCGACAGCAACACACCCCACTGTGCARTGGGAGCCCCAGAGCAGCAACCGCTTTGGGCAACGGCCCGAGATCACCACTGGTGGGAGATGGGATGGTGAGCCCCTGGTCTCCCAGAGGGCTCGTCCCCAGCCACGCCGTCCAGCTGTGCTGCGGGGGCACCCGGCAGGGTGGGGGGAATGTGGCCGCGGCTGTGACCCTGCTCTGGGCACCTCTGACTCATGGCGTGCCCACGGGCTGGGCCACCTCGTGGCGGGTGGTCAGGTCTGTCCCTGGGGAGCTGGAGTGGCTGAGGGCTGGCAGAAGCTGGCATCTTTCTCAGGCAGCGTGGCAAAGTCCACAGAGCACCGATCAGTGGTACTGACATCACAGTGCGGTGGCATGTGGTGCCTTGACCACGCGGTATAGCCACCTCCTCTCGGGTTTCCACCCAGCTCCACCCTGAAGCCAACTCCTTGCCCACCAGCTGTCTCTCTGCGCTCTTGCTCGGGGCCCTGGCTTTCTGCCTGTGGTCTGGCCTGTTCAGGAGAGTTCCTGTGGCCGGGYGGTGTGACGTGTGGCCCTGGCCTGTCACTCGTGTGACCTGTCCCACTTCATCTCTGCTGCAGCGAGTCAGCTTCCCCTCTCCATGCTGTGTTCCCTTGTGGGGATGGACCACCCTGGCCCACCATTCATGTGCTGAGAGACAAGAGGGCTCTTTCTGCTTAGTGGCTACTGTGACTGGTGCCACTGCAGACTTGGGCGTCTGAGCACCCTGAGTGTGTGTTCTCCCCTCCTGGAGGAGGCAGGTGTGTGAGAGGCTGCACCTCTCCTCTGGCCTGGAGGATCCAGGCAGGCCCAGCGCAGGCCGGCCAGCTCCGCCCTCTCAGCCAGGGCATGTCCAGGAGGCTGGGCTGGCTGAGCTGTGCTCACTGCACTCACAGGCTTTGGACCCGCCTGGTCGTGTGTGGCAGCTCATGGCACCCACAGGCCTCACCTCTGCCAGCTTCGGCTCCATCAAACCCAGGTCATGCTTTGAGAAGTGGCGGACACGGGCAGCACTTGCMGTTCGGGCCGCGCTGGACACACCTTCACCCCCCAGCAGTGCTCAGTGCTGGGCCACAGGAGCCTCCTCYGGGCCTGGCGGTCTCTCACCCGTGCCTGTCTCACCCCACAGGTGCCTCTCCAGGTGCAAAGCCAGGCCTGGGGACCGGCCACGTTGTTCTCATCGCGGTGGCCTGCTTGGTCATGGTGGCGGGGGCCGCAGCCTTTCTGATCATGCGCTACCAGAAATTGACTGGAAGATACAGCTTCAGCACCCAGGTGGACAACTTCAGCTACCAGGTGTTCTCTGAATAGGAGGCCCGCAGACCTGCAGGTGGGTGTGGAGCAAAGCACCCATGGCCGGGTCCTGCCCCCATGACCCTGGTGACGACCACATAGGCCTGGCAGTGGGAAGGTCTGTGCAGTTCCCATTTGGGGCTCCCTGAGGAGACACACCCTCTCCTCCTGGAAAAGCAACCTTCAGTGGCCAGGGAGAGGACATGGACTAGGACATCAATGATGGGCTGGACTGATGGCGCATCACTGCCCCCAAGAGTCCAGAGGCAGCACCATGCTGGGTGGTGAGAGCAGCCCCAGGCGCCAGCCCCAAATCCCAGTGCTGCCACTCCCCCGCTGGGCCGCCTGGGGCAAGCTCCCAAGCCTCTCTGTGCCTCATTTTCCTCCTCTGTAAAGGAGTGGGGTGAGTCCAGTCGCACCAGGAGCTTGAGAATTGGAAGGGAAACAGCCCAGGGCCTTCCCCAGGGTGGGTCGGGGGCACCCCAGGCCCACCAGGAACTGTTCTCAGTGATGTCCCTGGAAACTTGTTCTCACAGGGAGCAGGCTTTGTGCAGGGACGGACCCCTGTATGACCCCTGCTGTGGGACACTGGTGACTTAAACATTCAGAGCGTTGAGGAGAGGATGCCCTTTCTACTCTGTCACATGGACCTCCTCCTGGGCAGGATCTGGACACAGCTCCACAGAGCACAGCATCGGCAGGCAGCCTGCGCACCCCTGCCTCGTGCTGGGGCTGCCCGAGGGCACCTACGATGCCGAATGCAGCAGCAAGCCGGGCAGAGGGTGTTCACTGAGTTCTTTAGGGAATAACGATCTCAACAGCTTGGGCATTTTCAAAAGAATATTCCACCTGCGGTGGTGTGGAGCCTGCCGACTCCGGGGCCACTCTGTGAACTCCTTCCCTGCATGCAAGCTGACCAGTGTCCTCCTTTTCACGCAGGTCACTGTGAGTCAAGCATTAGCAGGCGTGTACTCCGTGGGGTGCTCTGTGCCAGCGTTAGGACGAGCCCCGACGGGATGACGGCCGGCCCTTCCGCCCTCAGGAGGCTGTCCTGCTGGAGATGTGGGCAGAGCGCTGGGAGAGCCCTGGCCCTCACGCCCAGCCCAGACACCACCCCTCCATCGCCCAAGCCACCTGCACATCCCTAGCCCTCCTGGGCCCTCACCATCCAAGCTGCTCCAAGTGACCTTGGCTCACTGAAGCCAGTGGCCAGCATGCTGTCAATCACAAGGCTCCTCACATTTCAGAGACACTTGACAGTCCTGGCGAGGCTCTTTTACAAATAGCTCCATCTTTTAAATGCATTGCTCATGCTATTTTTAATAGCTGTATACACACTCTGACATTTCTTCCGCCTTCCTAGCAGGTCATTTTTATTTACAAAACAGTAACGCAGAAGGTACTCTATTAATATGAAAATTGTCCTAGTGAGTAAAAACGTTGTTACATACACACACGTACACACACCACTGTTTTATGTTTGCAACGTACTCCTAGCCATGTTTTCATGTAATCCACCCTGGGGGGAGGGGGAGGTGTGCCTGTTACTCTAGGAGGAGGCAGAGAAGGGGTAGATAGGTGTGCACTTAGGGTATAAGATGCATAAAGAAGGAAATGGGTCTAGAATGTAAGTGTATTCGTCTAGGTTTTCCCCTTCACCCTCTGCTAAGAGACACTGCTTTCCCCCTTATTTGAAACAAAGTAGAATTGGCTGGAAGGCTAACATCTAGAAGTTCCGTGTTTTCCTTCCATGAACTTAGAATGATAACAGGGTCTTTGATTTCAATTCTTGACAGTAATTTTGCTGAATATAATCAATTCTCACTCCTAAACAATATTTGGGAAAGGAGCCTTTGGATTTATTGGGTATTCTCAGAATAAGAGGAACAGTCAGTAACTAACGGGTGTGGATGACCGTTTGAGCAAGCAGGATGCATTGCCTCAACGCCGAGACCTGAGTGACGGTGTGCTGGCCTCTCCATCTCAGCTCACCGGGTGTGCTCTGACGGCCGGCTCCTGGCAGACCAGGAGCACACCTCTGGTTCTGGCAGGTTCTGGCATGACCACAGTCCCTGCCATTTGCTTTTCTTGGGAAAGAGCGTGGAAGCCAGGTATTGAGCTCTGTGACTGGCTGGATTTCAGATAAAGTAGTTGGCATATTATTTTAAAACCCCATCCTTCATCTTCAGTTTTTACTTAATTTCAATAAACAGGCTACTTCGTTTGTTTGTGTTTTCTGTAATAGTGAAAACTCCATCTCCCCTCTTCTTACTTCCCACACTCAAGTCTCTGACAAGTTCTTCCTGAGCAGTCATATTGCAGGGACAGACAGGCAGGGCACCCAAGACAGCAGGAGACAGTTGTATTTGGCTGCAGCCAGGTTCAGAGGGCACAGCTTTTGCTGTAACCAATTAATCCCCTGAACCCCGAGTTCAGGGAGTTTCAGAGTTTTATGCCCAGCATGTAAGGGGAGGGGCTCAGAAGTTCAGTCTGCAGAAGTTCACATAAAAACAGCTTTTTCTCTCACTGTTCTGGGCAAGTTAACCCTTCAAGGACCACACCTGAGAAGGGGAGAGCTTCTTCTCCCCTCTCTCTCCTCCCCCTGCCAGCTGTTACCATGGAGCCCAGTTGTAACTTATCTTAGAAATTTAGACATCTCTGTGAAGCCCAGAGGCCTTGTTTGCACATTTCTACAAACTACTATACTGGATACGTGTTTGTGAAAAGCTAGTAAGGGGTGTCCAGCACCTGGAGTGCAGGTATCTTCCCGGCCAGTGGCCAAGTAAAATAGAGCAACAGGAAAACAGGAAGTTTATCTACATTGAGTTCTTTTGCAGAGACTCTTTTGCTGACAGTCCTAAAATCAGCCATGGTGAAGATTTCTGGAGAGGCCCAGTTAAGACTTTTCTGTGGAGGAGGGGGTGCCACTAGAGTCACAGTGTCCCAGGCCCTGAGCTCAGTGTTCTGGACAAAACAGTGAAAGCAAGACTGAGCCCTGCCCTCAGAGAGCACAGGGGAAGGGAGATGCTCCACCAGCAGCTGATGGGAGCCTGGGAGGAGCTGAGAGGCGAGGGCAGGATGCGGTGGGGTGTCCCTATCGGGTCCATCCACTCATCCATCAAATGATCACCCATCCTGTCCATCCATCCATGCCCCATCCATCTATCTTGTTCAACTGTCCACGTATGTGCCCATCATCGAGCAGTAACAGGGGTCTCTAATCCTGGGGCCACCCACCCACCACTCACCCACCTACTTATCTTCCCATCCACCTGCTTGTCCATCCATCCGTCCATCCGTCCATCTGTCCATCCATCTTTTTGTTCTACTGTCCACATGTGCCCATCCCCAAGCATTAAGAGATGTCTCTGCTCCTGCGACCATCCACCACCCACTCACCCACCTACTTGTCTTTTCTCCACCTGCTTGTCTATCCATCTATCCATGTTTCTCTCCACCCACCCACACACCCATCTAGCTAACCAAGGAACGCTTACCACATCTCATTCTTACACTGACATCGGGAAGAAAAGAAGAATGAGGTGAAGTCCTCGATCCCAAGTGTTCACACCCAGCAGAAGAAACCCCACCGTGACCACGACGTGCAGTAAAGCCAGGGAGGCCCCCGCAGGTGGGAGGAAGGGGAATAGGGAAATGCTCATGTGCTCAGGTGACTTCCACACGGGAGGGTCTGGGACCATCGAGTCACAGAGGCGCTGCAGGGATATTCTCAGCTTGTGCATTGCGTTTAGCTTAAAGCCTCCGGTTCAAGACTCTGCTGTCATGGCTCAAGGGACCCAGTCCAGAGAGCACTGAAACAGAGGGAGGAGGAAGGTTGGGTGTCTCTGATGCAGACATCACCCTGGGTTGTGCAATGAAACGCCATGAGACCAAACTTCAGGGCCTTGGAGACTCCCCAGATGATGCCCTCCCAGAGTGAGTGGCCCTGGGGCCACCCCATAACAGAGTGGAGATCGTGTGGGACCACGCAGATATCTTCATACTCAACCCTGTGCTAATTCCTTGGGTATGAGCATTCTCCCTTAATGGCTGAGGACTCAGAGATGTTATGCAGCTGTTATGGTTCACACATGAAGGGTCCCCAAAAAGCTCCCACGTGAGACAATGCAAGAAAGTTTAGAGGTGAAAAGATTGCATTATGAGAGTCTTACCTAATCAGCACATTAATGGTGATAGGGATTAGCTGTAGGCAGGTGGGGTCCCTGGGGGTGGACCTTGGGGTGTATATATTGTCCCTGGTGAGGAGTTCTCCCTCTGCTTCCTGGTGCCATGTCCTGAGCTGCTGTCCTCCTCCACCTTCCCGTTTCTAGGAAGGGAAGCCTGGTGAAGTACCAAGATTTCCTGTCCCTGTCCCCCTCTGCCCTGGTATCCTGCCTCATCTTGGACTGAGACCTTGGAAACCATGATCCCCAAATAAACTTCCTCCTCTAAAATTGTTCTTGTCAGTCTGTTGATCACAGAGGTGAAAGAACTGACTAAAACAGCACTTTTCCCACACACAGGACTCTGGTGGGAGTGGGATGTGCGGCAAACCCCTGTGGTCATGAACACTTGCTATCCCTCTGGCCCGAGGGAAGGGAAGGAGGCCCTCTGTGGATATTACAGTGCAGAGTACCTCTGAGGCGTGGAGGTGGTCCTCAGGCTCCCTGAGGCTGGGGGTCTTTTCCTGCTGGGTTCTGTGTCCCTGGAAGTCCTGACCCTCAGACACCACCTGGGGCCCAAGATCTCAGGCTGTGACCCACTGGGGTGGCCAAGGGTCTGATGGAGATGGAGTGTGATGGAGGTGGAGTCTTATGGAGGTGAAAGGTCTGATGGGGTGGAGGGTCTGATGGCAGAGGTTCTGCTGGAGGTGAAGGCCCCACAGAGGTGGAGAATCACTGGAACCTTCCGCTGTCCTCTGGCCATGGTGGCAACTCTCCACGATGACCACTAGATGGAGCCCTAAGCCAGGGTCTGCATCAGGGCTGCAGGGTCCCTTTGTTTCTGTAGCAACCACA